ACCTTCGACTTTCACGTGTTCCTTGGTCAATTTGAAGTCGTCCATGTTCCTTTTCTCTTAAATGGCTAAAATTCCAGCTGCGAACCTGATTCATTTCATATATAAATCAAATGGAATTAATTAATTTGAAATCATATAGAAATTTATAACTAGCAATTGCGCCTTGTTTATGCAAAAATTCCCAATTTTTCCTGTCTAGACGGCGGTGTAACAAATCGCTAAGTAATCCTATAATAAATTAAAATAACATTTGCTCCAAAAATATGATTTAATCTTCTTTTCCCCTGGCTTTTTTCAATTATAGGAGAAAATTTAGAAACTTGGAAAACTTCCAGCCGGTGTTAGACAAAAGCGTTAATATTGAAAAAAACCACTAAGGAATCAACTTCCAGAAACTTCTTTGCGTAGATAAGTCGGTCGAGTTTTAAATAATCGACCAGCTCTGTGCCATGGCAATCCTTTGTGGCGAGGTGTGAGATTGAAAGGGATAGTTGCTTCATGAAGGGGAGATCGTATTAGCACAACGTTGTTCTAGAATGTTGTGTCAACTCTACTAAGTAACCGTGTCTTAAGTCATTCAAACCAATTAAACTCCATTCGTTTGATTTGAGCCCGAATGATGATGCAGCAATGCGATGCAGAGTATTAGCCAGAAACGGAAGTTTGAAAAAATGAAGGAACTCCGGAATGGGAATATTCAGTTTTTGGAAAGGAAATTCTATTAATTTTGCAGCTGGTGCAGGAGCTGCGGATGCAGCAGGTTGTGGCTCTCCTCTCTTTAGCAATGTCATTTCTGCTTCCCCTTCTTAACAGTCAAATAGAAACTTCTTAAAAAAGCGCAAGCTGAAGCACGACATAATCAATATTTCCTCGGATTCATTCAGATATGAGATCAATGTCTCGTCTTCGCGATCTAGAGGAATATGCCTCTAAGACAAAAACGATGGGCTGTACTTAAAATGAGAAGCAAGACGACAAGTGGACAATAAGAACTCTGGATTGAATCACTCGCGAAGCAAAACGTCTTTGAGGAGGGCCACCGACCAGATGGGCTAACGTATTCGTTGCACGGATGAACCAGCTGAATTCTCAGCTGGTAACGAGTAATGGACCTGGACTTCGCGA